GCACCCCTAATAATGGCATAAAATCTGTCAACCATAGTATCAACATCAGCGTATGAACCCAAAGCATTGCTCCAATTAACCGTGTTAAGTGATTCCACGATCGCGTCATAGTCAGCCCTATAAAAGTTGTATTTTTTAACAAGTCTCGGTTTCGTTTTAGCACTAATGGGTAAGACGGGTTCAATGTCCAGAGCTGGGTGATACTTGTCAATTTTCCTAAGTGGAAACAAACATTCACTGATTTTTATTTGATCAATATTAGATAATATTAAGTCAAGGGTCTTGTTTTGGAAATTTTTGATATTATTAAATTGTCTTAAGATTATTAAGAGTAATAAAGTCTGATATAAGTTCTTTGAGGCGACCAGAGCTGCCCTCGGATACCATTGATCCACTTTCTGGACATTGTTGGAATTCCCATTCAACGGAACTCATGTTGAAGTCGCCGACCAACAAAATAGGACCGATTAAGAGTAATAAAGTCTGATATAAGTTCTTTGAGGCGACCAGAGCTGCCCTCGGATACCATTGATCCACTTTCTGGACATTGTTGGAATTCCCATTCAACGGAACTCATGTTGAAGTCGCCGACCAACAAAATAGGACCGTTACTATCTGCCTCCATTACTGTGTTGCAGTTTTCCAGGAAAATTTCGCACATGTTACTATTTACGGGGGGTGATAAATAGACAGCACACACTCTTAGAGATATGCTTCTACTGTTGGTTCGGGATTGTAAGTGTACAACCACAAATCTTCGTAAACGCTCTCCCATTCACGTACACGATTGGATTTGAATTTATTTGAAATTGCTATTAAAACACGTCCTCTGGAATTTTTGTGGTGAGAAAAACTAGTGGTCTCCCGGTCTCTTCTGTAAACTGCAAACGTATTGTCAAATATTGCCGAACTAAATATGCCACAATATCACACAGCCAGGTTTCAGTAAGGATATAGACATCGTACAGGTAAATTAGCTTGGAGAAATATTTGCGTTTGTAGTAGTAGGCACCTGCGGACAGCGTAAACTGGTTTATTCTGGTTTTGTGCGTGTTTCCACTTTCCACTATCAAGTGACGATTTTTTGCTTTAGATTGAAATATCTCGGAAACGGTGCGTCCTAGGCCAAAAATAACAAAAATTTTGACCCCCCCCGTAGACCCCCGGAGTTTTAAAAACCTAGATGAAAGGAAAAAAAAATTTAAAATATCGGTCTCTCCTCTTTGAAGTTTCACTTCTATCGTGTGTGAATCGCACACACACCTTTTTTTTTTTTATAAAGTCGAAACCTTTTTCTTTAAAATAAAAACTTGTTTTTATTGAAAACAATAATCAGAGTGTTGCTAGGGATAAGTATAAAATTAAATAGTAATGTTAGGATATCGGAACATTTTTGTATAGGCCAGAACGATATAGTGGAAACGCGCTCTAAGATCTGAGTAATATACACACCACTACATATGCAAAAATTTCTCGAGACTAATTTCACTGTATACATTATTATTTATTTGTTAACGTACTTCACTTATGTTACTGCGCAGTCCTCTAACATTCTGGTAATATATCTTAATACAATCGAATCCTAAGAATATGTAGCAAGTTATAGGCCCTTAATTTGAACACCGGTTTATACAAGTAACTTCCATTTGTCAAGATTATTCACAGTTATTGTTTCCGAGGGGCATCTTTTTTCATTAGAATTCTGCCATTTCGAACCCAAATAAATTTATAACCTATCTCTTTTGAACGAATGCGCGCAGCTGCATGAATTGCTTTATTTTCCGCAGTGAGATGTTCTAGAACGAATATAGGTAGTGGTTTGTCATTCGCAATTCCTAGATGACTTTGTGTTCAGTTTTGCGTCTATAGCCTTATTTTTGTTGAACTTTATAGCAGCGGCAAGAAAGTTATCGCGCAATCGAGGAGTGACAAATTTTACGAGAATAGTTCTGGGTCTTTTACTTTGAGGGTCTTTTTTGGCGATCCTCGTACAATTCGCTATGTCACTGTCCTTCACATCGCAATTAATCACTTTACCAAGCTGATGTATGGCAGTCAGAAGGTTTTCGGATCGATGTTCTGGTACGCATTGCAGTTCAATATTATTAGCACGAGCGTGCTGTTCCATCACATTCATGCGGCTGGTGATATTATGGACGGAACCGCGAAGCATGGCGTTTTCTTTTTCTAGGTTTTGGATCTGTGTAGTTCTTTCCAATAAAATATTTTTCATGTCTTCGTATTGATTGTCGAAAAATGATAAAGATTGTTGAAAACCGGAAATAATGTCGTTGATTCTACTAACTTGTTCGTTGATTAGTTTTTGAACAGTAACCTGTAAGGCACGATCAAACTCCTGCCTAATCATCTCTCTTAGAGTGTTACTATTAATCTCCGTTAGTAGTATATTGCAGTCCTGACCGGATGCTAGTTGTTTCGGCTGCTTGCTACGCAAAGTTACGTTGGTGTCGGTGGGCGAGGTCTTACGATGTTGTTTTGTAGGGCTATCTAGCCGAGTAGGTCGAACGGGTGTATTGGTATTGTCACCTTTAGGTAGTTTGTTTAGACATTCGGGATTTTTGACGAACTTTTGATTAATTGTTTATTTATTGTTTTTGTCAGTTTATTATTATTCAATTATCAGTACTACAACTATACAACTATGACGTATTACAACTATGTTGATGAAATAACACTCAATTTTGCACTATAAACTCACTTATGTGTAACATTTCAAGAGCAAACAAAACAAATCTGTTGACTTAACGGCGGTCGGTAAGAATTTGTTAATGAAGGAAGGACATGAAAAACCACCCGTCACTTCGTCTCGGCAAAGCGTGCTCTAAACCGAGAGATCAGTAAGGTCTTAAGTTACATCATAACTCTTTCATTATCTGAAGTAGTTTTCCCATCAAGATTATTTTTTTTTATTGTAAAACCATAAAAAGGCAATAAGTTATATGAAAAATTACGGCTCCATTACTAATTCCTACAATTTTTAAGATTTTTGAAAAGTTTGTGCATGAAAAACTTTTCTCATTCGTAACTCAGTTTAATATTCTGAGGGAAGAGCAAATTGGCTTTAAAAAAAAATTCGACCTTCTTAGCTTGCCTTAGACAACTAAACATTTAAACAAACTGAGTCAATATGGTATTAGGGGAAATGCCCTTAAATGGATTAAAAGTTATTTAACCAATAGACAACAATGTGTTGAAATTACGAGATTAGCCCCGACACCAAAATTAGTTTTTGGATCCTTGTATCAAAACAAATGTGGTGTACCCCAGGGTAGCATATTTCGACCCCTCTTGTTCTTACTTTACATAAATGATCTACCTGAAGTAATTCCACACAAGTGTATTTTATATGCTGATGTTAATACTATCACTGTAAAATCAACAAATAAAAATTACTTAGAATACCAAGAGGAGAACGATTTGTCTTTGAATACAGTGATTTCGTTGTTAGCAAAACGAAAATGCTTAAATTTCAGCCTTAGCACGGAGCTTCTTAGTAGTTTCTTGGTGTAATAATGGATAAAAACTGTAATTGGAAGGCGTACATTGATACTGTGTGTTCTGAAATAGATAGATGTGTATACTCGGACGTTCAGTACAAAATTATTATTACTGTAATTAATTAGGGTAGCCGGTGTCGAAGCAGCACTTTGCACGTAACATGGTTACGTCTCATCAATATTGCGGTACGGTTTGTTAGTGTGGGGTAGTTCTATTGATGTAAATAAAGCCTTTCGGGCACAAAAAAAAATGCTGTGTTAAAAAAAAAAAAACTACCGATCCCAGCTTTATAATATATTTGAAATTTGTGTCTTAGTACATAGCCTCATCAATTTATTTGAACTTCATGAAATTGTTACCATCAGATTAGTTACAAGAAGTTAAAAGCTGCTTGTACCTAGACAAAGTCTAAAAATATGTTCCAATAATGACAATTGCATATCTATATTCGCATTTACAATAAATTGCCTGACATTTTTAAATCGTTGACTTTTCAAAGATTTAAACGCAGTCTTCGAATTTCTTTTACGAAAATGTTACTATTCCTTAAATGACTTTCTAAATGAGCGATTTGATCGAAAATGTTTGACATTAAATTTGTTTTTTGACTTTGTTCTATTTAATTACTTTTATTGTTCCAATGTATTTTGTGGATGTTAATTATTAAAAAAAAAGAATTGTATTTGATTTCATGAAACTGTTTTTTTTTCTAATATTTCATTTAGGTGCGGTTTGAGTCTATACATGCATGCAAGTGTATTTCCAACTTTTGTAAACACCTTAATTCTAAAGCGCGCAATAAGTTAGTAAGCGCTAATTAGCATACATATACAACTTCCCCACATCAACCGTTGGGCCGCGGTCCGCCAAGCAGAATCACCTCGCCTGGTTGTTTGGTTCTCCTCTTTCATCATCATCAGCCTATCGCAGTATACTGCTGGACATAGGCCTCTCCTATTGTCACATTTTATAAAAAATCAAAAAAATTAAATATTTCGAACCTTCAGATTTAAAAAACCTGCAAGATTATCCTCAGATTTTTGGGTAGTATGGCAGGAACATCAAGTTGAACCGTTTGTAAAAAATCTAACACTCGGGTATTTCGAAATGGCGATTTTTCGAATTTGCAGTTTGCAGTTTCGAAAATTTGCTACGAGCTTGCGTCACTTTAAAATTGTCAGACCTTTCTATTTGAGCATTTTTGGCGTCCAAATAACATATCCCAAAATATCTGATGCCCTGATTTCTTTTTTCGGTTCCTCCTTTTACATCCTTCTACAATCCTTTTACACCAAAGATCGGCAGGGCATGGATAGAAATTTTGCCATACAAATTTGAATTCTCGCTCGACCCATCCACGCCTCGCCTTGCCGGTGTTAAACCACCTTAACGATGCTCTCTTCAATTCAGTAAAAATGTTTCAAAAGTATAGTACCTATGTATATTTCAAAATGGTGTGATATATAATGTTTTTTTTGCAGGCAAAAAGAAAGGTCAGAAGAGCTCAGAGGCTCAGCGGGTTGAGGCTCCCAGAGAACCTGAACCTGAACCTGTTCCTGAGGAGCCACAAGTAGAGGAAGAAGATGAAGGTATTGGATCGAAACGGAGACTGAGGAAGGAGAAAAAGCAAGCGAAACAGGAGACAGCAAGGCAAGCTGCAGTAGCGTTATCTGAGATAACTCCAGGAAGACAGAAATCTGAACCTCCTGCAGAGGTGCCTAATCCAGCACCAGTACCAGAAGAGAAAGTTGAAGTAGTTGAAGTAGCTGAAGAATTTGAAGGTTTAGGTCTGGGAAGTGCAAAGAAAAAGAAACCAAAAAAGAAAAAAACGGATGGACCTTCAACATCGGCTTCAACTTCGCAGTCAGTGGCTGCTCCAACTCCACAGCCAGTGGCTGCTCCAACTCCACAGTCAGTCGCTGGTCCATCTTCACAGTCAGTTACTGCTACTCCCCGGCAACTAGGTGGTGATGGAAACCTTCAACAGATGCCATCTTCTGTGTATACACAGGGTGCCCCAAGCACCCATGAGGTTTTAGATGCACCTGTTGCCGGACCTTCAAAAACTTTAACGCAGATGAAACCATCCTCGTCGTTTTCATCGCCTCCCTCTGCGTTCGTTGAACAAAGACAAGCACCATCAGGACCTTGGGGTAGAGGCAGGGGAAGACCACAAGTAAAACCTACAGTTCCTACATCTCATTCGACACCCCAGTTTGCCCAGTCTCATCCAGTCCAACCTCAACCTACTTCACCACCCCAGCCAAGTTCAACATTGCAATCACGACCTACACAACAAAAACACGGCCAGTATTCCCAGGAAAATGTTGTATGTCGGTACAAAATACCAACCAAAGTCCCTGGAAGGCTTGTTGGCGGAAGAACTATCGCAATTCTGACTAATTATTTGGAAATGACATTTAAAAGTTTGAAAATTGTAAGTGTGGAGCATTGATGAATATCTTGTACATTAGATCTGATGAAATAACATGATGACATGCTTATTATACTGCTTTATTTTACAGTCGCGGTATGATGTTTCATTCAATCCAGATCGACCAAAGAAATTGATTCCCCTTGTATTTAAAAAGGTTAAAGAAAAGTATTATCCTAGAGAGTTACTTGCTTTTGATCAAACAAAGAATTGCTATTCGCTCCGGCCTCTGCAAAACGTTCCACAAAATGAACGATTTAATACAGTGGTTAGTATTAGATACATTGATATTACCTATTTTATTGTTTTGTTATTCTAATGAATTGTGTAAATTTTTTAATAGTAATGTAAAAAACTCTAGCCTGATTCAACCAACATTTTGACTGTTGGTGCTAGGATCGACAACAAGGAGCCACAAAATTTAACTAGATATGGACCCGATAGCAAGAGGATTCGGTATTTAAGAAAAAAGAAATGAAATTACTTTTTTGTGAAAGTTAGCACTTAACAGAACTTGACCACTTAACGTAGCAAGTTACTTGGTAGTGACTTACTCACTTTGACACTTCTGATTAATGACCATTAGTGCGTCTTGAATGATCGTGTTACACTTCTTTTCTTTCCCATGCAGATCAAAGAACCCATATGTAACCCTTGAACCAAGTGTATATTCAAGTGTAAGAACTAATTTTAAAACTGTTTACAGATGGAGATAGAAGATAGCAACGGGAGGCTTATACGATTCGAAGTCTCATTTAAATCTACTGGTGTCGTTGAACTGGACAAAATTAGACGGTATGTGTGTTTTTATGTGACCTCATGTTCATGACTAACTAAGCAGAAAATTTAAAATCATGGCATAGATGCTCCTTGGCCAGGATTTCAGGTATCCATTTTTTAAATTTAATGCGACGTACGCTCGTAGAACGCAACCATTTCTTATGCAAGTCTGCTTAGTTTGGAATCTTATTGGTCAGGGGGCGGGGCTTCATCCGAGGTACCATCACTATTATTTCATAATAGCTCTACATAAATATACTTTGCTTATCATCTAGTTCTTGCTCTGTCAAATTATTTGACTGCACGGATGGTGGAGTGGTTTCAGCGGTCGTCAAGTCTTTTATTCAAATCTGTTCACAAATATTTTTTTGCGTCTAGTTTTGCGTTTTGTACATTTTGCTTCTAAGGATTTAATATATTGTAATGTTTTTAACAAACATAACACCACAAGAAAAAATATAGTACGTACAAATAATGCTATTAACTTGTGCGATTAGCTTGGACATACCGAAGGCCTTCAATCGGGTCTGGCATAAGGTGCTTCTCTCGAAGCTCCCTTCCTGTGGACTTATGTAACTGGGTCACCAGTTTACTTGCAGACAGAAGCATAAAGGTCGTTCTCGACGCATGCATGCTCCGACTTGAAATCTGTAAATACTGGTGTCCCTCAAGACTGTGCTATCACCCACAATGTTTCTTCTGCATATCAATGACATGTAGCAAACTAGTAGCTTCCATTGCTATGCGGATGATAGTACTTTAGAAACCCTTTATACCGGCCGCCTCAATATTTCTTGGGAAAACGTCATCGAGAGTCGAGAGATTTTTAAAACTAAAAGTAACGTAACTTTGAATTGCAAATGTGTCTATAAACAATGACACATATTAATTAATGCCGTGAAAGAAGTTTTCCCGGAAGTGAAAGTGAGAGGTTGCTATTTTTATTTTAAGAGTGTAATAGTCAGGAAAGGAAAAGAACTTGGTATGATGTAGAGCAAAAACCTAAAAAAATATGTAAATTGAACCTTCCTTAATACCAAATAAATTGTATTAGAGGAATTGTTGACAACAATCGAAAAATTACCAGATTGTCCAGCAGCGAAACAATTTGTGGCGTCAATGGATCCATAAGATCACAGCCGACGTCTGGTGTTGTGCCCATGAGCGTGACGGAGCAACAAATACAGTAGAAGCTTGGCATAACAGACGGTAGAACAGTGAAGGTAGAAGAAAAAGAAAACCTTCTAAATATATAAAAACTCTAAAAAAGGAAGCAAAGTTTTACGATAAAATTAAAATCAAAACAAAATAAAAAGACCATAAAATCGAAGAGGAAATAAATAATCTGATGACAGGAAAAAATAGTGTTTACATAATTTCTTATAGTTGAAACAAGGTACTGAATATGCAATGTCTTTTATTCTTGACTGTACATTACATTACTGAATAACGCATTATTCGTATAAGTAATTTGACAAACAAAAGGCTTGACTGAAATAGAATTTGGCTAAAAAAGGAATTTGATGAAAAGCGAATTTGACAGAGCAAGAACTAGACAAAAAGAAAAGTTGACTTATGAAATAACTAGACGAATAGCGAAATTGACTTATGTAATTAATCTCTCTGCATTTAATGCGTGAGGTATTAAATACAGATTTTCAAGTTACCTTTTTGCTCTGCAACAAAATAAATAAACGTAAAATTTAAAATTAGGAAAAGTTGAATAAGTTAATAAGGTAAGTAGATGTTAAATTTAACGAACTGTATTGTTTTAGCTATATGACTGAAGGAGGAGCATCTGTGTTGCACCCCACTGAAGAGGTGCAGTGCATTGACGTCATATTACGACAGGGCACCTTGGAGTCTTATGTCAAGGTATCATCTACATAGCCTGTATAATAGTCATTAGTATACTTCATCAACATCAGCAGCCTTCACTAATCCACTGTTGGACAAAGGCATATCCTTAGAAAGAAGGTTTTGACCTACTATACCACGCTGGCCAGATGGGTTGGTATAGGGTTTGTTTCAAGGTTTCCCTATTTTTGCAGTGCTGTTGTCCTGCGTAGTTTGCTTCCTTATAGTGTGGGCTCAAGTGCTAGTGACCTCCTGAGGTATGTGAGCGGCAAGACGGGCGCGTTAGACAAACGGAAAACTATTAGTTAACTCAGTCTGCCGTCGACCGCCGCGACGATTATACGATTCAGTTGTTCGTGCCAGTTTGTTCTAAACACACATGAGATAAATATCCTAATATGGGTCCGCCAATACACAGTTTTTTTCTCAGACGAAACAAGGAAAGTATGGAACACAAATATGGTATGAACAAATAATTAATTAGTAGCAGAGGCTACTGGAGCCTGCCGACCTTCTTGCAGAGTTTCGTTCATAGTTCCTTAGACCTCTCACGCCGTTTTTTCATAACTTGAAAAAGTTACAAATTAATAAATAAACTTACTCGTAATTCAGTGATTGTAATGGACTTAGGAAAAAAAAACCTGCTATGTCAAGTTTTAAAAGGCATTTGCAAGATTGGTTACGTGAACGTTATGTTAAATATACACCAGACAATACTAAGGCCGAACTCTTTCATCTGATAAATAGAACTCAGTCCGAAGAAATTTACATCATTGACGAAATGTTAACGATTGCAGATCATATCGTTCTTCGCCTTTCGCCGTGTCATCCCGATCTTGAGATCGGCCCACACAAGCTCAATAGGGTTGACCCTATTGAGCTTGTGTGGGCCGATCTAAAGAACAATTTAGCTTTAAATTTTATAAATTCTACATTGGATGACAAAATTCCAATCATCACAAGATTATTTTCCGAAATCACAAAATGGCAAAAGTATGACGACCACGTACAAAATTAAGAACCTCTATTATCTATACCACGAAATGAGGTATGGCAATGTGATAGACGAGTGTATCATAAATATGGGAAACGATTCAGATTCTGAGATGGGATTTGAAAATTGAAGACATGTCTAGTAATGCAGAAGAAGAAGATATGGATAGTACTATAACGATAGTGAAAATAATATTTGAATTTACTTATCAAGAAATCTTAATTGGTTTATAACACTTCATAATAATTGTCTAATCATTGTGGGTATATCGTTAGATAGTTTTAACATTTGTTAACAGAGACGCTGAAATAGCTTTGATATTTGTCGTATTATGGCGGCGGGCAACCATTTTGTTTGAAACTAAATAATAATGCTTTAGCCACTTTGGGACGAATGATGAGCTATATTCATCGTCATCACTACAACTTGTAAATGTACATTTTTGTTTATATTTCAGGCCGGCCGTCAATTCTTCAGACGCCCCAAGGAGCCTGTAGATTTAGGGCACGGTTATGAGATGTGGACAGGGCTGTTCCAATCGGCCATATTCACTAACAAGGCGTTCGTTAATATTGATGGTATGTACTTAAAGGAATTTTATGTATACAATGCGAAAAATACTTAAAACAATGTTTTTTTTTTAAATGAAGTTTATTGTATTGTTATTGTATAATACTGTTATAATGCTAAGAAATATGTTTGAAATTATTAAATTTCATATTATTAGGGTACCGTACCTCAAAAGGAAAAGCCGGAACCTTTACAAGTTCATGTTGTTGTCCGTCTGTCAATACTCTTTCTATCGGGAACGCGTGGAGGCATCGAGTTAAAATTAAAAAAGATACGGCCATTTATGCCACAATAACGCATATTTCGACACTTAAGGGAATAATTCATACTTCCCGTTGACCTAGAAACGCATGTGTAATAAATACTAATAATAAGTCAGAGCACCTACTTAGAAGAGCAACGCTGGGTTGAGGTGTGAAGGAGAGCGGAGTCTCCCTCCTGTCCGCCACGCGACGTCTGCGGTAGTACCGGCCGGCTTCGGTACGCCCGTTTAAGAGTGTCACAGGATTACTCGCACTATTCTTATTATTTTATTAACTCACTTTCGTGTTTTATCTCTCTACTTTACTAATCATTTATAAGAGAAATAGCGTGTAATAAATCTCTCGATGTATTTGGTGGTTTGATATAAATGTAAATGTTGGAAACGACACATAATTACAAAAATACTTATATTACTGTTTTAATTATATGTATATAAATGACATATATTTATCAATATTATTTATTATATTACATATAACTATAAATTACATACATTTACATTAATATCGTGATTGAATATTGCAGCAATCACGTGGTTGTAAGAATTCAATTTTACCGGTTCTTTTCACAAAATTTTCACCAACTAAAGTCACGAAACAAAAGAAACGAAATAAAATATTTTCAGATGTAAAATTTTAACCGGTTTTATATAATTTCTTCAACCTTTTACCAATATTTTAAGCAGAACAGGTATCCGAGATACTGCTATATAGGTGAAATATATTTAAATTCGACAAATATAGTTACCGGCACCGATCTTGGACGCTAACCTTCACCTGCGCAGTAGTAGATTTTTGGGTCCCTTTGGTGGTATGTAGTAGGACGGGGGGCAAATTAATAAATAATGTCGCCCAGTCATTGGCTCACAGATATTGCCACTGCTCCTGAATTCGGATTCGTTTACTCGTTCTTAGCGCCGACGAGTACGCTTCTTATGTGACTATATTAGATAGCGTAATGTATTCTCTAATATGTACCTATATCACAATAAATTAGGCGACGATGAAGAAGAAATGGCCACCGTAAGTAAAAATACCAGCTTTATTTAAGACTAGTTGATTCCCTCGACTTCGTTCGTGTGAAATTTGAGAAGCGCTTCCTTAGTGGGTTCGACTCGGACTGGACATTACAAACAGACACTTCAATTTTATTTATTTTTATAGATAGTGATTACATGAAAAGTGTCGCTTCTATTTCACCGTGATAATTTTATTGACGAAAGAATTTGTCAAACAAAAATATATACCTAAAAGATGCTTTTTTATTAAAACCATTTTGTCTTACCATAGAATCAATAAGAAGTTACGTAGTAAAGCTACAACGTAACTTATTATTCTATTTTAACAAAGCAGTGAGTGCATTTTATGAAAGTGTGCATTTTATTTTGCCATAAGTGCACGATGCGCAAAATAAAATGCACTCTTCAACCGAGTGCTCAAGATACGTGCCGGTAACTATAATATTTTTACCTAGGTAGCTACCTGCTCTTTTTTAGTCGTGAAATTCGTGTAGGTATTTACTTTATTTACTCAATATTAGTATTTATTACACATATGCTAGAACTATGTATACATCATCGAAATGAAATGAAATTTTGTAAAAAAAAAGTCTTTATTTAAAATACGTAATCAATCATTGAGGTACGATTTCATTTATAAAACACAATAATATAAGTAATTATAAACAACTGCGAGACTCGATTCATGAACTATATTTTATAATATTTACCTACAAATTCCTCGGTGGGTGAGTGCGACTCTTACTTGTCCGGATTTTAACAACAACATCTTACAATACACATATTTCAATATCGTTAGACTATACTGTAATAATAATAATCTACATTGAGGTAAGCGCAGTCGGAATTTACATTGACATAATGAGATATAATTTTTGTAAGTTCATGAAAACTCAGTAAGGCTGTAAAAGCTTGTGTTAAAACTTCAACTAAACTTACGATAATTTGTTTTCTTGTTGCAGTTGCCCATAAAGGTTTTCCTAAACATCAATCGATGATCAACGCGATTACGCGAGATTTTCGACTGGATCTTAGTATGCCGATCGAGAGGCAAAGAACTAATGAATATGAGAATTTCACAAACTTTATTAAAGGCCTCAAGGTAAATAGAATTTTTGGATATTTAAATTTAGAGCGTCCTTTTTATTAACCGAGTCTGCTAAAATTCTATCACATTTTGAATGGTATTATTAATAACGTTCGCTCGATGTGAACATTATACTTTTTTTACTTCTCTTACTCGTTACTCTCTACTCTCTCTTACTATAAAACTCGTTATTTCTAAGGATCGTAGAATAATGTAAAATAGACTATTATTAAATTCCTCAAAAGACCTATATTAAATTAAAGAAAAAAAACGGACTACTAATTTTATCCAATAAAAACTAATTTTTATTATATTATTATAGACAATGGTGCTAATTCTGTTGTTCCAAAACTAACTAAACTAAAAATCATAAAAAAATATCCTAGTCCTGTCAAACAATGTTTGGTTTGGGAAAATGCAAAATAAGTTAAGTTTCTTAATTTAGTCCATAATTCGTCATTTGTTATTATGTTGTACGTTCTAGTCGCCAAAGATGACTAAACTTAGGAATGTCAGACTTAAATTCGACGTTATCTAAATACATGCCGACTAATTTGTTGATTATACTGTTTAAGTATCATCATAATCATCATCATCAGCCGATCGCAGTCCACTTCTGGACATATGCCTCTCTTATTGCACGCCACTTCGATCGTAAATTCTTTTAATTTTGTGTAATATTTTTATGATGAATAGTGGACTACACGTTTTTCTTGAAGGCTTGAAGGTTTGATTGTCGTATTGGTCCGGAAATACTGCAGACGATAACTTGTTCCACAGAGTGGTTGTGCGAGGCAAATGTGGCAAGTGGTTGTGCGATGGTGGGGATGAGAGTTTTGCAGTGTGGAACGATCGCGGCAAGTTGCGGCCAGTACTACTCTGAACAATTCTACGTAGCACCTTCCATGGTACATACGATAGAGGGTGCAGAGTGAAGCTACATCTCTATGTAATACCAAGTGATCGAGCCGATCGGAGATCTTTGTGCTATCGACGATTCGAGTCACTCTTCCTTAGATGCGGTCCAGAGGGAGAAGCTGGTAATGAGATGCCATGCATAGAGATGAAAACAGTATTCCACATGCGGCCGGACTTGCGCCCTATAAAGCTGAAGGTAGTGGGCCGGAGTAAAATACTGCCTCGATCTGTTTAGCACACCGAGCTTCTTCGAGGCCAATTTGACCTTACCCTCTAAGTGACCCCGAAACTGGACTACGCTCGCTATGTCGATGCCTAGGATTCCGATGCTCTCAAACTGAGGTGATACAACAAATGGTATCTTGTTTGCGGTGAACACAAACCTGTGTCTTTTTTGGGTTAAAGTGGACTAGATTTAGTCTACCCAACCTAACACCAGCATTTACGGATTTCAAGTTGGAGCATGCACCGTCGACCACGACCTTAATGCGTCTGTCTGCAAGGAAACTGGTGACCCAATTTCTCCGGAAGCCCATATGAAGGGAGCTTCGAGAAAAGCGCCTTATGCCAGACCCGATCAAAGGCCTTCGTTTTGTCCAAACTAACAGCACAATTCCTTGAGAAGAATTTATTTACTTTTAGCAAAGTCTTAAAAATATTATAATTGCATGAAAATAGTTAGGATGGCTCACTTTATAAAGGGTACAAATTTCGTAATCATCCATCATATATCACTGGTTATGTCATACTGGTTATGTCGTTCTCCTTTAATGCTGTCTTAATGAACACCAATTAAGTTCGACTTGACTACAGAATAGCATTTTGGAAATCGCCTCACTAAGATAAATTTGGAGAAATTTTAGTTTAGTTGTGTCAACAACAGAATTAGCACCATTATCGGTTTGGGAACACTCGAATAGGTGTACATGAAAATAAAACTTTATTTCGTGATTTAGGTAACAGCAACTATGGTTGGCGCCTCACCAAATGCTGGTCAAAAACGTGAATATATTTGCAACGGCCTAGTGGACCCGCCAGGAAAACTGAAATTTTGGCTGAATCAACCGGACGGGAAGCAGCGGGAAATTTCTGTAGGAGATTACTTCGCCAAGGAAAAAGGCTACCAGTAAGTATGCTTCAACATGTATAATAATAGTTATTTATAAAGTTATATTCAATAATTCAGTGTCCGTGTGGTGACGGATTAAGAATACGGAGTGTCACAACCCCTATTCATCCCGAGGGTTTCATAAGAGCCGACTAAGGGAGCAAACTACGAAGGGCAACAGCACTGCGAAGAGAAGAAAAACTTGAAGTAAAGTCTACACCAACCCGTCCTGCCAGCGTGATATAGTAGGGCAAAACCTCCTTTCTAAAGAGAGGCCTATGTCTGGCAGTGGACTATTAAAGGCTGTTGATGATGTGATTCAATAATAATGTTATCCTAGTTTTTGCTCGCGGCTCCGCCACCGTGTAAGTCGGTTATAGCGGTAAAAAGCCTATGTAGCGGTAAAGTATCTCCATGCCAAATTTCATTAAAATCGGTTCTTGGGTTTAGAGGTAAATAACAGCCAGACAGAGTTACACACTTATTAATAATATTAGCAGCACAAAATAGGTTGTTTTTTTAACTAAAATTTAATACAATTTAGTTTACGAATGAAAACGTGAAAATTTATTGATGACAACATAAGTATTTATTTGGGATAGTTGCATGCGCTGCTGATCTCACTATAAGTATACGCTCAAATTAAGTGAAGAATAACTCATATAATTTAAGTATACCTACTGATTGTGAAGGTAAATTATTAACCTATTTACAGGGTTCAAGTTCAAAGTTGTACCCTTTGGACAAATAAGAGTCCGTATGCAACAACAATTAAAAAAAAATTGTTATTTTTTAATTGATTTTTTTGTTAGAGAAATAAATACTATATGAACTAATTCTTTGAACTTGTGATGTGAAATGATCTCATTTTCTTCTTAAAGTTTTAAAAGAATTTTATTTCAATTCAAGATTGAATTGGGTTTATTTTTGATGTAAGAGTAGGTACAATAGTAATACAAAATAACACAAGGAATAAATTTAATTTCCTTTATTTATTGTCAGTATACGATAGTACGTACACTGTTTAAATTTTTATATTTTAGAGGGTCACACTAAAGGTTTTAGATCATAAAAGAACGGAATGATATAGAAGCCTGTTGATATTTTTATTGCTTTTCGAAGTAGTCCCCATTCCTTTCTAAGCACCGTTGCGATAGAACCATTGAGCCCACTCTGCTTTTTGGGCGCTGCTGTCTGACCCGTCCGTCCAAACAATGAGGCAGTCATCTTTTTCCCTTGACTTCTACCCTTCTCTACAAATCTAGAAAAATTCATTGCGTAGATCGTTTTATGGTTTCGTGTTCGTAACAATATATCCAGCATTGATCACCTGTGATGATGTCACATACTGCATTCGAGTCATCTCTGTATGACGGAGGTGGCTTCAAGCATTTAGCGGCATCATTAGCCGCACAGCACACGTTATCCTTAGTAGTCACCGGAGAAGGACGTCTATCTCGAGAATCATCAATGCCTTCGTAATGAATTACCCATCGAAATCTATCATAACATTTCTATTGAGTTAGACCGCAACGAACATCGTAAGTGGTGTCTACCTAGTCAAATCCATTTCGATGCATGACACTTTTTAAATTGCCGCCAATTTCTAAAAACTAATGACATTTGAAAAATTGAAATCATTAAACATCTATAGATTCCCAAAGATTTCCTAATTCGAAATTTAAATAAATTTTCATTGGCTGCTTTTCTTCCCGGCCTATTTAAAAAAAATTTAGTGTGACCCACGTATGTTTTTATGATGACTATTCATGGAATCTTTCTTTTTTGTAGCATTAAATATCCATACTTCAACTGTATTTGGGTTGGCCCCAAAGAAAAGAGCATATATTTTCCAGTCGAACTTCTTGAAGTTGCTTATGGACAGGTAATGTTTGACGTGGTTCAGTATTGTCTGCCACTTGTACTATCTCATTTAGCATTAAGTTATTTGTTGTAATTACCCGGTGTACAATAAAGTAATTTATTATTATTTAGATTAACATACTAACCAAAAGTGACTTACAACCATTCAGATTACATACTTATACACATGCCACTAAATACTTAACAAAGATGTTTGCTTGGCGCTCATAAAATGACACCATGTGACGTATCTAGTAGTCAAAAAATGAAAGAAAAATCAATTATTATTAATATTAATATTTAATTTTCAAAAGTATAAATAAACAGCGCTAACAAAAGATAATTTACAAAGTTAGTTACTTTGAAATATTTAGTACCCCGAAATAGATAACAAGAGTCTAAAACGCTCCAAAGTGGTAAGTAATAAACTCCGGCTAAAGCTTGTGTTAAATTATTACACAATTTATTGTATTGTTGTTTGGATGGCTATTTAAATGTATGCGCATAAAGTATGTAGTATTATCTGGTATGGTATTACTGTATGTTATCGAGGAATTTTGTCAAAAAATATTAATTATAATAATATCAATTAAAATAATCTTAAAGAAATTAATTTAAAAAATCTGTGGTTATGGCCACGGATTTCTTTGTGGCATTATATTAATTTTATGTCTCAGAGAAAGAGGGTCAATCATTAAAAAACACAATTTGATTTCGATACATCATAATCTAACTAGAATTAATGCCGTTAGTTGTAAACAATTTTTTGTCGGTTTATAATTCAACCTAGAATAACCTAGATATATAGTAAGAATCCTAATATTTCACCCGAGCAATATGTGGAACCGACAATCACTGCCTAGCAAGTTGTGTAAAACCTTTCGTGTTTTATAGCCACTGGCCAGGCAACTTAACGAGAGTCAAGTGTCGAAGATGGTGAGGGAAGCGGCTACTCCACCTGACAAGCGCTTGGCGAAGATCAAAGAAGTGATTTCTAGTGTAAGTTCTATCTCTATAATAATATGATTTTGTTACTTCTTTGTTTTATATATAGGTGTATTTATTTCCTGTCCAGCAGTTAAAGACTGTTGATCATAATGTTTATATTTATTTCAAATATTATAAAATTATTTTTACATTATAGATGCAGTACTCAAAAAATAGAGAATTCAAACAGTTTGGTTTGGAGATTTCCGACAAATTTTATGAAGTTAAAGCAAGAATTCTGGATCCCCCATTATTGGATATTGGACGAGGGACGACGGTGCCAAGGTTTGTGATCTTAGCCAAGGTATTTGTGGTCTTAGTCTTACAGAATATGACATTTCATTGTATTCTTGAAAAAAATATGAACGTGAAGAGGAGCGTGCGGCGATTCAACCAACTTCCATCGGCGGCATCCAACTTAGGATACTATTATTATAGCCTCTTTATTCCCTTAATAATTCTTAAATATAACATTCAAGTCTTATAAAAACACAATTATATTATTATACTTTAAACATTAATCGATTTGAACTAAAATATTATATAAATTTATGTTAGACTATTGTTTCGATTAATATTGAATTTATTACAAATTATTTTATTCAATATTTACAATAGTAAAGGCCTTCTCCACTTTCTTCCAATACTCTGTATCTTTTACTTTAGTAAAACAGCCTGCCGCGCCGTCTTAGGATATATACGGGTCTAATAGATCATTTTTGACGGAACACATTCTGGTTTTAGTGTGGGGGTTTCATTTTGAGTAGGGGTTCAAAAATGGCAAAGATTGTTAGATAAAAACAGGCTTACACAAAATTAAAATAGGTTACGTGTATACTTAAAAAAAAGTTATTGGTTGTTTTTACTGCCGGGTTTGTTTCTCAGTTAAATTTTAATGTTTGTAAACATTATTTAATGATTCTTATCTATAGAGTGCTCTAGGGGTGCTTAGTGCAGCAGTGTAATCATTATTAACTACAAAAACTTTTACGTCGCATGTATGCATAGTATGTTAGAGAAATTCTAATAGAATATGATTCATCTGAGAGTGTAGGACGGGTTTTTTTTAAGGCCCATGCGAAAGTTATTTCTACATGCATATTTTAACCACTTAACATTGTGTGATTACTTTCAGGAGAGGACAATGGCAAGCTAACCAGCTATTAAAGCCTGAATCCCTTTTGTGTTGGGGATTCGTTGCTGTTGAAACTGGCCACAATATCGATTTTGACGTCGTTATAGACACGGTATGAAAAATATTTTTACTAAATGTTCATCAATTTTTCCTTCTGAATATCACCTTGTTAATAATATATTAAGGTATTTGCTTAAATTGACGACCGGATGGCGTAGTGGTTTGTGTAACGGACTACTATTCCAAAGGTCGCGGGTTCGATTCCCGCTCAAGTCAAACATTTGTGTGCATGAACATTTGATGTTTGATTTGGTCTGGGTGTTTCTATGTATAATGTGTATGTATTTACAAAAAAAAAAAAGTATATATGTATTTATATCAGTTGTCTAGTACCCATAGTACAAGCTCTGCTTAGTTTGGGACTACATGGCATGTGTATGTGGTAAAATATTGTTATTATTGTTATTGTTATTATTAAATTAATACATACAGATTATGAGTGCCGGCAAACAGCTGGGTATGAATATATCAAACCCAACGATTAAAAGGTTCGACGTCACGATGATGTCACTAAGCAATGTATTACGTGGAGCTCAGGATCAAGGAATCAGACTCCTCTTCGTGGTTGTATCTACAAAGGGGCGAGACCATTATCACAGGGTAATTAATTTTTATTTACTTGGCTTTGCTATAAATTTTATATTTTATTGAAATATAAAAATACTGAAATATTTTCTTCCGGTTTGCGAATTATTTGTTATTAGTAATTAAACACACATAATAGTCTCTAAGATAGAGGCTTGAGGAATATTTAAGTAATAATATACAAAACAATTTGCGTTTTCTTAATTGTTAGGTAAAGCAAATGGCTGAGCGTGAAGTCGGCATGCTCACACAATGCATTAAGGAGGCTACCACGCGTCGCATGAACGGCATGACAGCGAAAAATATTCTGTTGAAGGTACTACTATAATTATATATTTGTTATTAATTGGCTTTCTTAGAAACTTAAAATATTCAACTATTCATGATTACGACCACGAATTTTATGTAATGTCTACATAAATATATGCAACGTTATGCTGTGCCCCACATGGTGTATAATCGATACTAGATTATGTTTTATAAACAACTTATATTTTGGAAGCAATAAATATAATAGACTTCAGGAAATTATGATACGATTACCTTTAATTTTTTTTTATATTGTTTAATTATGTACTTTAAAACTGACCCTTTAAGACCTTTTGATTTTTTTTCTTGTAATTAATTACAGTGTTTCATTTAAATAGGTTAACTCAAAATTGATGGGTATTAATCAAGCTTTGGGTGACAAAACCCTGCCACGTTGTTTGAGGGAGGGTGGCGTAATGATTGTTGGTGCGGATGTGACCCATCCTTCTCCAGACCAGGTCAGTTGTATAGACTCTATTTTTTTATATATTGATACGTATTTCTTAAGTAAAAGATATTCAAGCAATGCTTGTGATAGGATTGATAGGACTATCAAGGAGGTAGCCTTTTGTTGTGGTTTTGACAGCAACAACTGTGCCAAAAACTGCACTGCGAAACCGTTAATCATACCATTCGAGTAACGTACCTGTTTCGCGAGAAGTTTGACTGTGTTTTTTTACATTTAACCAATTTTTTCCACTTTGTGTATTTACGATATGTACCTAGATGCCATAAAAATAGAAGAGTACCACTTAACATTAGTGATTTAATCAATGTTTTCAAAAATCCATGTACTCGGTTATGACAGGATTATGTTAGACTGCAGTGTGGAGTGAGAACAAATGGTGGCTTATGATTCCTTAGTGTGTATTTGGTTTTTCCCACAACACACATTTGTATGTATCTGTATCGTTATAATAAATTTAATAGTTTACTTAGTTTTAAAATATAATACTCATATATATATATATATAAAAAGTAGTGTACACTGTGATGGTAATTTTGGCTTTAATATTGCATAATTAAATCAGTTTTTTTAACTATAAATAGTTTTATTAAGTAGGTCAAGCATTAAGTACCAGTAAAAGTCTCGATAACCCTTCAAAATAAGTTATCGCATCTGTACACTATACCTTTAAATAAATAAACGTAAAACTTAAATATTGTTTTTTTCTTACAGTCTAACGTGCCCAGCATTGCTGCAGTTACTGCATCTATTGACCCCAAATGTTACATGTATAATATCGAACTGAGTGTTCAAACACCAAAGGCAAGTATTTTCATTTAGCGCCATGTTTTATTTAGCTACGTTCCTATGAAGTTTTAAAATCATAATATGAATGCCATGTCCTTTTCCTACAGTATAAAATATTTAGGTACATTTCAAGACCAAAGAACATTCCGAAGTTTATTATTTATCTCTTTCTGTCATCTTTCTGATTCGTAATCATTTATGTGGAAAAAAGATAAAATTACGATGTTTATAAAGTGAACGCGGAGTGGGGTTCTACCGACTTAACAAAAGAATATAGTATACGTCTTCCAGTGCCAGTGAAAAGTTCGGAGATAGTACATCTCCCTGCCTCACACTTCGCTGTAGTTGGATAGGTTTTGAGATGGAGTGACGTCGTAGCGTTCTCGTACAAACATTTCCACACTTCGTTTCGATCAGAGCCCAAGTTTCGATCGAATCAAAAGCTTTCTCTTAGTCTACAAACTCCAAGCATAGTAGAAGTACTCATTGGATTTCGTCATCATTGGGTTGTACTCATCGGATCGTATGTATGTGGTTAATAGTACTAAAGCCTTTTCGGAAACCGGCTTGTTTGGGAGGCTTGAAGTCGTCAAATCTGCGTGCGAGATGGTTCGTAATGACTCTCGAGAACAGTTTATAGACATGACTCAGAAAAGGGATGGGTTTATGGTTCTTCAACAAGGTGTTATCGCCCTTTTTGAAGAAAAGCACCATCGCGTATGAGGGAATTAAATTTAATTTAATTTTTAAATTTTTAATACTGGCTTTCCACCTGCCTTCAGGTGGTCAACCGTAATTTTGTCTTCGCCAGGTGCCTTGTTGTTTTTGAGCTGTTTGTTGTTTTTAAGCTGTTTGGTAGCCAAACTAATCTCGTACAGACTGACGTCCGGTACATCTTCGGTATAGTGTCGGGTTAACCTAGCCCCTGGATCTTTCGGCAACTTAGTAACAGGATCAAGTGTTGCCGTGTACAACTGCCCATAGAACTTCTCCACCTCATTCAGAAGCTCAGGTTTCGAAATCAAAGTCAATTGTACTTAAATTATACTATTTATATTTGTTTCATAATGTATATTGTTTCAACATGTTTCATCAAGTGCCGACAATCGAGAGTATAAATTATAATACGTATAATATTATAATTGATTAGCGCTTCATATCTTTATCCGAGGTCTTGGTCAACCATCCCAAATACAAGGTACTTTTTGTTTACTTTTTGCAGAAAGAAATGATAGTAGAGTTTGAAGACATGATGTTCGATCATTTAAAAGTGTACAAGGAGCGAAATATGAACCATCTTCCAAGGAAAATATTTGTATTTCGGGACGGCGTATCTGAAGGACAATTTGTACAGGTAATTTTAGAAAACGGTAATATTGTAATAGGTCTTTAACTACAAAGTTGGAATTTTTCAAAACCAGCGTTCGGATTTTATTATCTGGGGATTGACGCGACATTCGAGATTCAAATAAATTTTATTCGCAAACCATGTTACTTTAATTCAACCTGTGTTTCCTCTTAAAACCACCCCGATGGCCGACCTCAGGGCATTACACTTCGGAGGACCTGAACAATGTAATATCAGGTCTTGTATGGTGTACCTTGTAGTCCTTGTACAATGGATTATTAAACTCGAGTAAATATAGAAAAAAAAAAACAATTATTGCCATAGTCGTCTCTAGCACTGTCCTCCGGGACAACAACTGGGATTTTTCTTAACTAAAATAATCTACCGTTTGCATCTTTTGTGCCATCTCCCGCTTCCATCGGTGTCACGATTCACAATGGAGAAAAAAAGGTTCCAGTTGCCTACTTTGGTACTAATCGGAAGTAAACAGTTGGAAAAAATTGTCAACCGGGGAACAACTGGGACGAAAATTCCAATTCCATAGAAGTCATAGAAATGTCTGCGATTTTCATATTTTAAAGGCAGTTGCGGCAAAGAATGACCTCGTAAAATACTATTTAAATTATTCAAATTAAAGTTTATTTTTTATTTCAAAGTTAAAATTCATCATCATCATTACCATCAACTGCCTATAAAAGCCCACTATTATTTGTGTTTATTTATTTGCAGGTGATGAATAGTGAACTAGCTGCAGTACATGCTGCTTATCAACGCATGGCAGGTGCATCAAGAAAACCTGAAATCTTGTTTTTACTCGTGCAGAAAAGACATCATACTAGGTACATGAAGTGGTATTGATTTTTGTAGCTATACGGCTGGCCTGTTGGTCTAGGCAAGTGATCCTAACTGGTAAGCCAGAGGTCGTGGGTGCGATTCCTACCCAGGACAAATAATGGTGTGATGAGCATGATCATTTGTTCTGTGTCTGGGTGTAATTTATCTATGATATGTATGTATTTAAAAATAAACTATGTCCATCTGCAGTCTGGTTATCATACATGTTCTGCCTAGTTTGGGATGAGACGGCCGTGTGTGAGATATGTGAAGTTATTATCTGTCGATTAGTTTAAAACACGATCGCCACATGTAACACTTCAGATATGATGCACATGCTGAATAATTCTTGTTCTAATTGTAGTTGTCAGGACAAGGTTTGTATAAAAGAAAGTAGTAGAATTGTCCTAAAGAGGGAGTGAGACAGACTAGATAATCTGACTAGAGAATAGAATTATCTGCAAAATAAATGACAATATTGATGGAATGACGTTCATTATTCAGTTTCTTACTTTACTTTATTATATTGTGAAGTAGCACCAGATTTTTTATGATTTTGTTGTTTTCTGAAAGGAGTTTTAAAAACTGTGATGCGAAATTTCATATTAGCTATAGCATTATTATAAAGGTGTGGCGGTCAGTTAGTACATAAAATACATAAATAATTTTTTGCTATCCGATCTCGAAAGAAGATGGGCCATGTTGATTTTGAAGGATCGTTGTTGAAAAGCCAACCATACTACAAAATTTAAAAGTTGTAATACGATTGATCGCAAACATAAAACTAAAGGAAAGAAACTGAACTTTGAGTTCTACACAATAAAACTAGAACTATTTATTTAACTCACAACTAGTTTTTACATGCCTATAATTTTCTTGAATATATATTTAAAAACGTTTATTTTTCTTTCTACATTAAATATTGCCATAATGGCTTATTTCTCCAAGAGAGTAAATATCATTCTAGAAATAAGTTACTTATGAATATATATTTATGTCTGACATTGTTTCAGATTCTTCAACAAGGGTGATTATTGCCAATATAACGTGGAACCGGGTACAGTCGTTGATACTGATATTGTACACGCAACTGAATTGGACTTTTATTTGGTTTGTATAATAAATTAACTTCTAAATATTGTTGCAGATAAAATTAATTATAAAATTCCACGGCTGTTGATTATCCTCGTTCTTCGGCTTATTAGTCAAACAACAAATCCTTAAAATTTCCACATTGAAGTAGTATACTTAAATGTGTGTTACAAAGGCTTAAAATCTGATTTAATTAGACACAAATTTAAATTATAAAGTTGTTTAGTTATTGTGTAATTACGTTTTTTTTATAGATATTTAAAAGGCTCTTTTAAACGCTCTTTTCAAGTAATTTATGAGTTTTTTTATATATATGTACAGGAATACTGGTTAAGTCGACCTAGATACTTTAAGGGGTTGTAGCAGATGAGTCCCAATTTCATAAAAACGGTATAACCAATAACTACAGGTTAATTATTGGGCGCCAAAGCAGTTTCAGTTTGAATGTGTAGATGGGTATTGTCAAACCACTTGCTTGGATCTTTTTTCTCCCCGAGGCAGTGTTCTCTTTTGTTCTTTGTGAGTTACTAACTTTCTTGATTATTTATCACTTTATCTCATTCGCAACATGTTTCAGCATAATGGTTGCTCTGCGTATTACAGGAGATGTGTAAAAGAATGGCTGGATACTAATTATCGTAATAAGTGTATTGGTCGATGTGGTTGGGTGTCTCACGCGGAATCGCATTGGCAATATCCGTAAAACATATCAGAATATCGGCATATTCCTCGTTCGTATAGGTCGTCATCTTCAACAGTATCAATATAACAATACAGCCCAGTAGTTCCTGAGATTAGCGGGTCTAACCAAACAAACTTTAGCTTTATAATATTAGTAAAAACGGGACAGTAATCACAAGCGCGATTAATAATAGTGATGCGCTAATGGAAGGTGTACGTGTATGGGCAGGTGTCGCACCAGGCGCTGAAGGGCACGGCGCGCCCCACGCGCTACCACGCCGTGTGCAACGACGGCAAGATCCCCGACGACGAGGTGGAGCAGCTCACGTACTACCTGTGCCACCTGTACTCGCGTTGCATGCGCTCCGTGTCCTACCCCACGCCGACCTATTACGCGCACCTCGCGTGTCTACGGGCGCGCTCGCTCACCTAGTACGTATACACTCTACAGCTCTTTTTCACTAAAAGCTTTACTCCTGTGTGCATTTCGGGTACGCTCGCTAGTCGAGACCCTACTTGGATCTTTTATTAAACGAATGAAGCGCCCCGCTGCGAAGGTGTCGAACGCCATATTAGACTGTAGTCTCACTTTTCTTGACCTTGACTACAAGGTCAGAAAAAGTCAGATATCCCAGAAATACTACATCTGAATACAAACGTATATCAATATACGGGTGCCACAGTATGCCGTGGTCAAATTTGAGGAGCTCTATGTAACGGATTCAGGTAGTTTATCTTGTTGAACGAACATAAAAGATTTTTTTTTATCTTTTTATTGTTGCGGACATTACATCAGTAATAATTACTCATAGATTCATTCATGTCAGCCCTCTCTAATAAGTAATATTATCTTTATCAGACAATTTTTTCAATACTCTACTAACATTTTTACTATAGAGACTATGTCGATACTAATGAATAGATTGTAAGTATTCTGCTATAAAATTGTCCCAGCACAGTGTATGAAAGTATCTTACAGACACGATTATATTTCATTCTTTATTAAAAAGTACAAAATACTTATAACACACACACACACAGTCACAAGAGTAGCATAAACTTTGTATTTCTACTTTCAGCGGCCAGAAATTCAACAACAAAGATTTAGAAAAGAAGCCTGAACGTCTTCATGTCCTTGATAAGATGCTCAAGCACAGCCGAATGTTCTTTGTATAAGTTTTTAGTTATTATAGTGATTGTATGTGCGTTCTCAATGTTTCAAAATGTTCTATTATGTACATATATGTATTATAATACATATAATATAATACATATATGTGTATAATGAGTTGTGTTTTCTGGTAATCATAGGAATAGCAATAATAAAACATTGTTTAATAAGTTCTAAATCACATCTGACATAATCATCATCTGACTATCCGATGCGATTGCATAGGTTATGTGACAAAAAAGTTGTTGCGAACTGATTGGTATTCTTTTCTCTAAATTATATTGTTTCATTAAATTTGTAAATCACTTTATATATGGTTTACATCACTATCGAATTAATCTAAACTTTAAATTAGTTGAAAATTTTCTATTTAAATCGATTATCATTTAGTTTATATTGAAAACAATTTTTAATTAAAATTATAATGGATAATAATAATTAAAAAAAAAAAAAATTGTGTTCCACTCCTCCATATAAAATCACTGTAATATTGCAATATAATTGTTTAATATTGTTGTAATGATGTTAATATACAATGTAGTAGTTTATTGGGTCTCTTATCTGTTTATTATTGATCGGCAGCAGAATGGTGTTGTATCTAAATAGTGTATGAAAAATATACATTTACCCTAACAAGTAGATATTGTAAGCTTATATGAAAGTAATCGATTTTAACTCTCTATTTTTGGATGTTGGTTTAATGTTGTGCAGGTATTGACTAAGATAATGATATCTCTTTAACACCTGTATCGTAATAAAAAGTAAATAGGAGAGATTTCGTTTATTATTTTACCGTATTCTAAAATTTTATCAATTTAAGAGCTATATCACAAAAGTGCATTTTTCAAAATTTACGCACGGCGACGACTCGGTCATTCTCACGATATTATGTTTCTGCTGTGCTAAGCAGTGCTGATATGTTCTTTATATTAAAATTATTTGTTTTAGCACCTTTCTTAAAATATTGTTATAACTGCACAATGTTACTGCCACTAGCTATACGTCTAGGGGATTGCTCGTGTAAATTGTGATAGTACGTAATTTTGTGTAAGAAAATTGGCTGTTCATTATATAAATATAATTTTGAAGCAAAATAAAACCGACTTCAATGCTCCTAAATCATGATTATTTGTAATGAACTTTATTCCTTAATTTACTCGTAGGGTTAGAATTTTTTAGAAACACCTTTATTTGATTAAAAAAACTGTGTCCATATAATACTTACCATAAAAATATATTTTCAAACTCCAAAATTACCAAAAAATACGTGTTCAAAATATACACAATACAAACAGATACAAGTGTAGGCGTGTAAAAGTTCAAATTCTCTTGTTTGCCATCCAAAAATTTGTCACAGACCTAACCTTAACAAGCGCTATTCAAAGGTCTCGGATATTTACATTAAAAATCGAAATTCGAATTATTTGTGAAATGTCGTATCTTTTAGTATATTGTTACTTTGAAAAAAAAAAAAAAAAAAACTACAAATAGGAATAAGCAGAAATCTACAGCTACTACGGAGCATTTTTAATGGTTTTATTCCTTTGTATAGTTATTTATTTGCTATATAATAAATATTTTATAAATCAACATTCAGAAGCCGCTATGAACTAAATTACTATTTAGGATACATTAATATATATTTTTTGCTTTATTTACTTTGTATTGTCGTTCAATCTATGACCTGAAAAAAAACTACGAGTAAAAAAGTAAGTTGTACTTTACAATGTTGTCTTTATCTAAGTAAGTAGTCAAAGTGGACCGTTATAAATAAAATCGAAATGTAACAGGACTCTTAGGCCCCTATTGTAAGAGACGTCTCAGGTATCGGACAAACTGATTATCTGAAATTAGTTTATATTAAAAAAAAAATTGTATTAAAGTCGGATCAAAACTTAAGCACGATCTTATTACAGAACCGTTTTGTAACCTTAATTACTCATTGGTTTGAATGTAACTTATAAACTTTATCGGCATTTTTAGCCTAGTATGTACATACTAGGCTAAAAATGCAGAAATCACTGCCTAAGAATAGTTTCAGCTTCACAAAGATTACACCTGTCAAAATCTAAACTTGATTGAAGATTTTGACATTAACGTACTGAATAAGCTATCACTCACTTGAGTGGATCGGTGAATTTTGTTTAAAATGACTTAAAATCTCTACTTAACAACAGGTTTAAGATTACATTCACGACTGAGACACCTTTTAAAATACGGGTCTCAATAGCGACATGAGTTTATTTTCCTATATATGTTTCATGTACATTCATAGATATAAAATTTTTGCGATATATCACGATGCACTTAACATAAGTTATGTCATTTTTTTTGTAAGGTTTACTGTAATAAAAAACTTACTTTGCGTGTTATGTAAAATTTTCTATTTTGGTTCAGTCGGTTCAAAACTTTTTTCTATTTATGTTTTGTTAGGACGTGTTACTTTGTATACTGGTAAATAATTTTCCTCTTTCTGTGAATGACAGTTAAGTTCGTAAATCATACAATACAAATATATTGCAGTCACCTCTATCAGTTGCCAAATATTACAAAGCTATTTATTGTATAACTAAAATCATCTTTAAAAAAGTATAACGAGTTTTGATGAAAATAAATGCATGTCAAGTCACATAAGTGTAAGTTTTGTGATGCTCAACATGAACCTCGTACATATTATGTGATTTGATCTATTGGACGCTTTTTATTTTAGTTTGTGTTTTTTTTTAAATTATCAATTACACACTGGGGGAACACATTTTGTGTATTTTAGTATACTTTTTAACGATTCGGGGTTTTTCTATAAATTAGGTGTCAAGATGTCATAAATTTCATAGAGGATGTCTTTGTAGCTTCTTTCCTTTTTTAAGTGTTAAGTTTTTGAAGCCCTTGTGATATTTATGATCGTGATATTCTTTCCGTCTAATTAAAATAGTGTACTTGACACATAATTTTCGGTTAATTTTCTTTTGATCTGATAAGAGAACTATGAGTTTAAATAAAGTTTGTATTAAGGGTTTTAGTATGAAAATGTTTTGGGTTGTAAAACATTTATTTATTAATCACGCCCGAATTCATTTGAAACACGTGCTTGACCCACAATTTGTATGTAAACACATTGAAATAGAACTGAGAGCAACAACAAACAAGTGATTACACAACAATTATGAAATTGTTACTTGTGTAGAAAAAGTTTTAATCACATTTGTGCAGATGTGATAATTGTGTACTTTAAATTCTTTTATTAGCCGATGTGTCATGTTTAATAAATAAATGTTTTGCGACAATTGTTTTTTGTCATGTCTCAATATTCCCCGAGGAGTTACAAATGGAAACCTTCCAATACTACCTACATTTACAGGTAAGTTATTTTAGGTAATTTATTTACCTATCTATTTACTGACATGATAAATAATATTACCTCAACCTAGAAAAGTATTGGATATTTGCGCAATATAATAAAATTATATAGTCCGTAGAGACCTTACACCAACCCGTCTGGCCAGCGTGGTATCTTCCGTATCTATGCGTGACAGCTATATAAATAATTACACTCAAAGATTTCTTTAAATATGTATAACTGAGGTAATTCGCACACTGCATCGCATTACGCAAAACGCGTGGTGTAACACAGATAACGCATTCACGCGCAGTGTTGTAGTAGTAGTAGCAGTACATGTAGAGAGACACTTGTTTGTGCGAAGAAATTGCGTGATTATTCAAATCTGTAGTTCCGCAAACGCGCGTAGCTCCCTCGCCACAGACCTCGCAGCGTAGAGCAGGGCAGTGTGTGAATCGCCTTAGTGGATAAATAGCAGTTACATAGTTTGCTATTTGTTTTCAGTCAGGGCTTCGTTTGAATAATACAATTTCTAAGCAAGACTCGTCAGAATTGATAAGATCCTGCAATCTGGACTAGATTGATTCCTATAGAAGAACACTTTTTGGTTTGTTAACTTTTCAGCTGGCTAAATATTCTCCTTGAAGTAGCTTTGCTTGTGGGTATTAAAAGAACACGACTATTTTTTAACCGACTTCAAAAAAAGGAGGAGGTTCTCAATTAGACTGTATTTTATTTTATTTTATTTTTTTATGTTTGTTACCTCATAACTTTTGACTAGGTGAACTGATTTTGATGATTCTTTTTTTATTTGAACACTGGTGCTTCCCGTGTGGTCCCATCTGGATTTGGTTTAGTTCTGATAAGGGCATCCATGAGGAAACCATATAAGTCTTAAATTTGCATTCAGTATGTTCGCGACAAACAGACGAATAACTCGATATCACGCAAACCGATTTCGATAATTCTTTTTTTATTGGAATGGATGTACTTTAAGGATACTTAGATGAGAGTTTGGTTAGATTCTGATCATGGGATCTACGACAAAGTAACGGAACTCTTCAATTCTTAGGAGCAAATTAACGATACTCGGCTGAATCTTTTAAAGGCTATCCGGATATTTGAGTCACCTACAGTAACGACGTTATGGTCAAGTAATTGTTGTCATCAATAGCCATTACTAGTCCACTGCTGGACATAGGCCTCTCCTTAGAAAAGAGGTTTTGGCCTACTATACCACGCTGGCCAGACGCGTTGGTATAGGGTTTGTTTCAAGTTTTCCTTCTCTTTGCAACGCTGTTGTCCTGCGTAGTTTGCTCCCTCAGTCGACTCTTACGACACCCATGGGATGAAAGGGGTGGTGACATTCTGTATTCTTAATCCGTCACCACAGGGACAGTGACGGAAGTAATTGTCGTAGTCGAATATAATGATCAATGAAACTCCTTAACGGCTTACAGTAAGGGTGAAATCTGTGGCAATTCTAACTGTATATGTCGAAGTGAACGAGTTTCAGGTGTTTAGTTTGATAAGCGATCGTGAATCAATCCGAGTCGGTGGGCACGTTGCTCCTCCTTTTCATTAGCTAGACGATCGTGGATTAATCCGAGTAGGTTTGCACGTTGCTTCTCCTTCTCATTAGATAGACGATCGTGGATTAATCCGAGT